AAAAAAAAGAGGTGGAAAATATTTTCCCACCAAATAGGTGAGAAAACAAAATCAAGCTTTTGTGCATCAAATGATTGTACCTAGAAAAATGTGGAAAATGTTTTCCTAGGAAAATTTGTGCTATCAAACACCACAATTTGGGGAAAATGGAAAATGTTTTCCTACTTCCATGAAATTCCTTGGCTATCAAACATAGCCTTATAGGCATACTTAAGTTCAAAACTACATTCCTCAATAGAAACTTGCAAGAGGAAGTGTACATAACATAACTTGAAAAGTTAAAGTCTCATCAATGATCCAAACGTGTGTTAAGGCGGTATCATATCATGAAAGAAAGAAATGATACGAAGAAATTATGTAAAGAAAGAACGAATTCCAACAATTGATAATATCGCAGATCCACCGACAAAAAGTTATCGCATCATAAACATAATTATCATGTAGACTATTATGTTATTAGATACATAAGTGATTGGATCTAGTACGAATGGGAGTTTGTAAGTGTTATGCCCTAAGTCCATTCGATTTAGGTTGTAAAAACTTTTAATATGTATAGTACATTTATTTATGGTAGATCTAGTATTTAATTGAATTAATATTCTAATAAATTAAGTAATAGAGTTCATAAATTCAAGTTTTGGTAACTTATTAATCATAAGGAGTTGTAATTGTGAAATACAAATTACATATGACTTAATATTAAATTATCCATAATTGTAAGTGATAACGAGATAGGGATACCGTTATTACGTATAGACCATCACGTTCGACATTTCTTACTTATGAAATAAGTAGTTAATTTCACAAGTTAAAGTAGGTGACGCTTCAATGAATACATGGGTGTTTTTTTAAGAGAACAAAATATTGGAAACCCTTTGGAGAGATTCCATATGGATAACTATATGAGTGTCATTGGTGAATCTCTAACGTTCGGTTGTGGAATTGGTTTTTTTACTTGAGGTTATTATAGTGCCTTATATGAGAATAGTCATACTTTGGTGATGTTAGATATTGCTATGTTAAAAGTCGATAATACGACACCGTTTGGGTATGTCAAGAATCATATGAAGGTTATGAATGATTAATAGATGATTCGTCAATCTTAAATAGTAAGATATATGATCTACATTCCATTCAAGTAAGTTATTAACGAAATCCTTGGCCAAAATGTGTTTGTAAGTCGGAAAAGAGTCTTTGACTTATATTTAAGAGTGTGATGAAAGATATTATTGATAATCGAGATTTACACTTCTATATCTCGTAACTGATCGGATCATATTAACGAAAGAATTATAGTTTCATGATAACGAACACATTTGGTTTGTCATATCACGTGATATTTTCCATCATAGATGTAGCCCTGATACATTGCTAGATATCAATTTGGGACGACGAGTATGAATTGATGATAAATTAAAAAACTGTATTTTAATTTATTGATTTTGATTATATTAAAATAATAATTTACGTCGTTAAGTATCGTGAACGAGAACCTAATGAGTCACACATAAAAGGAGAGCAAGAAGAATGATATTACTAATTAATTAATTGAAAAGTTTTGGACATTTGCACAATTAATTAATTAATTGGGTTATTTATTGATTGACCAAATAAATTAATTAGATTAATTAATGACAAAGTTTAATTAATTAGATTAGTTAAACGTTGGATCGAGTTAAGTTCAAGTGTTGAGCTAAGCTCACTTGGACTTCTTTTAATAAGTTGTTAGGATTAATAAAAAAACACAATTCATTAGCTTGCTAACACATGAAAAGAGAAACACTAAGGGACCGTTCTCTTTATATTTCAGTTTTAAGTTTTAAGTTTTGAATTCATTTTTGTATTTTGAGTGTCCATTTTAAGATTGTTGAAAATATGTTCTTTTTGGCATTTTGAATTTTGTTTTTCAAAAATAAAAAAGTGAAAAACCCGTTTACTTCTCTCTCTCTCTCTCCCCCCCGTCCTTAACTAGCGACTCATACGAGTCCCATCACGATTTAATCCAAATCCGGCTGCAGGAGAAACGAGTTAGTAACTCTGAGGTACTCAGATTCAACGAGTTGGATGCCCTGTTTAATATACTGGCATTTCGATCGGCTATCCACGTTATTGGGCCTCTTGCCTTTCCGTAAAACACCAAAGTCTAATGGGCACTGGGTAGAGACATTACCGTTTTGGAGTAGGTCCCGGTTGGGTTGGCGGCGACGGGAGGTAGAGGAACCAATACTTGGCACAAAATTAATAAAAAAACAACAAAAAATAACAAATATGCAGCATTGAATTTATGGGTTTATTCGATTTACAAAACTCTAGAGGAGGTTTGCTTTATTCTACGACGGCTTGCCATTGAGCTTTTGAGGTAGGCAAGGAGTAGGGTTTAGGGAAATGGAGTTGATAATGAAGACCACCATAACTGTTCATTGCGCAGCCAACATAGATATTATTTAGTAGAAGATAAAGAGAAAGAAGGTTCTAGGAAAGAGGAAAATGAAATTTGGAACACAGGAGCTGACTCCAATGGCCAATGCGGTGAATTGAGGGGTCCAACATTGTTGTTGAAAGTTGAGCTGTGCCTGTGCGTAGAATAAGGCGTGGTGAAAGTGTGAAAATGGAAATGATCAAACGGTTAAATCAACAACTCCCCTTACGCTAGTGGTTTTTAGGCGGTGGTGGTTGGCGGTGATTAAAAACACCAAAAACGCGTTTTGAAATTTTGGTTTGATTATAACTGAAAACATCGAAAACGAAAAATTTGTCGTTTTAAGTTTTCTTTGTAAATTTTTAATTTGTTTTCAAAAATTTATTTTCGAAAATAAGAAAGAAAACTCGGGGCCTTCCCATTTTTGTTCTTGTCTTGATCATCACCTTTCTTCTTTGGAGGCTCTGTACAGTTAAAAGCAATATGTCCTGGCTTACCACATCGGAAGCACACGTTCCTTCCCAGTAAGCATTCACCTCTGTAGAGTTTATCACATTTAGGACAAGGGGTAACACTCCCACTCGTCCCACCTATACGAATCCCAGTGCTTGGTCTCTTATTCTGCCAATTACGTCGGTCCTTACTTTGATCGTTCCACTTCCTCTTTCCCAATGATTCCTTGTTCTGTTGGTTATACTGCTCAATTGTAGTCCTCTAATAGGAAATAGCATGAGCCCTCTCCAACATTTCACGATATGAGGTGAAACGGTGAGACATAATGATCATGTCGATCTCCGAGCGTAGTCTATTTTCGAACCTCCTGATCTTCTTAACTTCTGTATCTACCAAGTGCGGGGCATATCTTGAGAGCTGCTCAAACTGCCTCTCATAATCAGTAAGTGACCTGTTTCCCTGTCTAAGATGCAGAAACTCAGATTCCTTGAAATCTCTCAAAGCTTGTGGAAATTACTTTGCCATCACTTCCTCTTTAAATTGCTCCCAAGTTAGGTTCAGCTGTTGCTCTTCAGTCCTAGTACGTGAGACGGATTCCCACCAGTGACTAGCTGCCCCAACGAACATAAATTCCGCGCATCATACCCTCTGTGCATCCGTACAAGCAATGTGTCGAAATATACGTTCCAGACTCCTTATCCACTCCTCAACATCAAGTGGGTCGAAATCACCGTCGAAAGTAGGAGGTTTGTACCTACGAAACTGTTCAACCACTGAGACAGTTCTAAGGACAAAAGGATGTGCATTCTGCTGTGGCGGTGCATTTTGCGGTGGAGGTGCCTGATTCTGCCTGCTCAGCTCTTAGACTGCTCGCAATAAATCACGCATCAGATTTGTATGGGTAGGTGGTGCCATTTCCTAAAATTTTTATATGAAGCCATAGTCACATACTAATACTAAGTCGGACAAGATATACCTATATTATTGTAATACATATCATAATTTTAGCGGGGGACAAACGTGCATGTCTTAAGAATTTAAACGTAGGCATTTCAAAATATTTAAGTTATGCAAAAGACTTAAATAAATTCTTTTTACCCCTTTACATACCTTAGAGTCATCGGAGGATAGTCGATTGGTGGTCGTTGAGTGCCAGAGATCTTACTTAAATAAAATTTTACATCATATCTTTAAATTTTTTACATATATAAAAAATATATTTAATTAGTCGTAAGCATCACTTAAGTTTACAATTAGTCACATAAGAATTTAGTAACAAGAACGAAAATGCTCGAGTACTGCATAATTAATGCACAAACAAGTTAATTTCATACTTAAATTAGAATAAGTAAAATACATGAATTTTTTTTTAATTTAAATTTACATGAATATGTGTGATTGAAACGTTAATAAGATGTCTCACACTCTTTGGTTTAGTTAAAATTTAAAAAATAATTAAAGTTAAAGTTAAAAAAAAAATTAATAAACGTTCGGAGTTCTATAAAATATTCAATTAAAAAAAAATTGAATTTGCAAATGGGGTAAAACAGGGGCAGAGTTATCATGTTTTTAAAAGTCATTTTGTTCCGCAATAATTTTCAATCATAAGACTTAACTTTTTCTTTTTTTTTTTTTACTCACATATTTTTTTTAAAAAATATTTTTTATTTGAAAAAATCTTTTACAAAGAAACGGAAATAAGATAAAAATAAATAATACTCGTGCCGCCTGTATTTGCACTTCCCACGTGATTCTCTATCACACACGGCCTCCTGCAAAACAAACACATTATCTACCAATACCAACCGTCCATTTTCTTCCACGTCATTAATCCGCACCTCTAATCCAACGGCACTAGTTCGATCCCACAAGAAACACAAGAGGCGTTTTATCTCATCATCTAACCCAACCCCGGTCAACCCTAACTCGGACTCGCCTCGACTCGCCTCTCCTCTCCATTATCTATTGCCAGCGCGCTCACACGCAGAGATAGACAGATAAGCCAATTTAGGGTTTTGCGCCATTTTTGCCTGCAAATTCTATCGGAAAATTCATCGTCTGTATTGAAGTTTGGCAAAGAATTGTATGTTTATATATATACCGGTGAAGAAAAAGGTTTGGTAAATTAATGGATGAGATCTGGGAGAGAGCGGTGGAAACAGCATTGGACGGCCAAACCGACGTAGCTTCGGTTCGAACGTTAACCCTTGACGGTGCTGTGAAGTGCGTTCACGGCCGATTACCTCCGCCGGCAATTTTCGAGAAGTTTCAGAGCCTCCAGCACCTATCTATAGCGAACATCGGCGTGTCGTCGCTGGAACCGTTCCCTCGGCTCCGAAACCTTCTGAGGCTGATCCTGTCCGACAATCGGATCGCGGGTGGTCTCAAATTCCTTGTTGAGGCAGGGCTTGAATCTCTGCGGGACCTTGATTTGTCGAACAATCGGATTTCGGATATTAATGACTTGAGCCCCCTGGCGGAGCTGAGGTTGGTTTCGTTGGATCTTTATGAGTGCCCTGTGACACGGGTTAAAGACTATCGATCTCGAGTTTTCGGTTTGATTAAGTCGTTGAAGTACTTGGATAAGACCGATGCGGAGGGAAACGAGAGGCCCGAGTCTGATGATGAGGATGAGGAGGAGGACGACGATGAAGAAGAAGATGATGATCCTGGGAGCGGGGAAATTGACGGCGGGGAGGATCGGCCGTTGAGGTTAAACAATGGGCATCGAGCAGGTAGTGAAGGGGTTGTGGACGTTGATGAGGATGAGGAGAGTGATGCAGATGAGGAGGAAGCAGAGACTTCCAGAGGGGTAAATGGGTTAAGCAGTGGTGGCAGTTCTCATCATCACTCCAATGGGTTTCGGGTGGAGGCTGTGAATGCAGAGGATGATGAAGATGATGATGATTCAGTTGAGGAGGTATACGAGGATGAGGGTGATGATGATGACGATGAAGATGTTGTGGAGGTTCATGAGATAGACGATAGTGATGATGATGATGGGGTGGATGATGAGGAGGAGGATGGTGATGATGATGAAGAAGAGGTGGATAATGATGAGGGAGATTTGGGGGAGCCTGCGAGTACACGGAAGTTCACTAGCACTGAAGGAGAGATTGATGGGCATGAACAGGGGGAGGATGATGTGGATGAGGATGATAATGGTGAGACGGGGGAGGAAGACGAGGAGGGTGTTGAGGAGGATGGAGACTTTGAGGATGATGAAGAAGCTGAAGATGAGGTGACCCTTTCTTTGTGATTGCAAAGTGCTTATTACATGTTATACTAGTATGGGGGTGATTTTTATAAATCTGTAGATTTTTTTCTTGATAATATATATCATGCATCAATTTTTGGGAATTTATTGTTTGGATATCTGTGTGCACCCAATTGTTCTTTTGATATGCTTGGATATGTGAGCTTTTTGATGCTTCGAACTTTGTGGTTTATATTAGTTTGTTTGTGCTGTTCCTCTGTTTGTTGTGGTGTAAACTGTTGGATGAGCATCTATGCCTTAATTCATATGTTTTTACATTATGCACCTTGATTTCTGATAGTGTAATAGTTGTTTTTGCAGAATATAAAGAACTTTAGTAGTTGAAATGTGACACTATTACTTTTGAGGATTGTTACTTTTTCTACCGTGTGTATATTGTTCTTTTATGCATCTGAACTAGTACTATTATGTGACTTTTATAACTGATCCATTGAAGTGTAGACTTAGATTTTCTTTTCATGAGGATTTCTGAAAGATAGGAACCTGTTGTGATTTTGTCTAATTACAAGTTTCAGATGCTTTTGATATGCCAAAAGAGGCTCAAGTTTCCACAATTTGCTACATATTTATGGAAAGATTTGAACATCTAACCTTTAAGATCGGAGAAAGAAGATAAAGAGAATTTTTGAGCTAATCTTGAGGGGTTGCTCAATTGGTTAGGTCTTGAGTTTGCTCTCCAATGGTCACTAGTTCGAATCCTCTCAAGGTCGTTGAGGTGAGTACCCGGCCATAAACTTCAGGACTCCGTGAGATTAGTCGAGGTGTGCGCAAGTTGGCTCGGACATTCAAGGTTATCAAAAAAAGAGAAAAAGAGAATTTTTGAGCTATAAAATTTTCAATAGAACTTCTTGTATGCCCACAAAATTCAGGGAAAATTGTATCATCTAAACATGTTTTCTTATCGGTATGCTAGTGTTTCATTGTTTTAACAGGATTAGCTTGTTTCTTAATTGTTGCAAGCTTTTGAGTTCGGGAATCTAACATTTCCAGTACTGAAGCTGCATATCTTTGAATCCTTGAAACTATATAAAAATTTTGGAGTACAGAATGACTAGGAAAGAAAAATGAAAAATGGAAGTCTTGTGCTGCTGTTGACATCAACTGTTTGTCATAAATGTTGAGTTAGGTGTGCGCGTACTGGATCTTTCTGAACCATATTTTCTTGTATTTTATGTCTTATTTTGTTTAACATGTAGCTACATGGTTCTGCTCTTTTGGAGTCTTGGGATAAGTGGGCCCTAAAAACCCTCATTTTGGCTGAATTTCTTTTGCAAAAAGTTAAAAAAGAGAGAAAATCTGTTTTGGGAGTGTCATTGCTTTGTTAAGGATCATAGCTTTATCTTGCACTGCAGTTGTTGGCAGTTCTACACAGCATTTTGCACGCTCCCTAAGATTTCAGTTGTGAATTCTACTTTTCTGGATATGTGTGGCTTGTGTTTATCCTAGGTTTCTTCCCATTTCTCTTTATGCATGTTCTTCTTAGCCCCTCAATTTTTGTTCATGCTCACGTGGTGCAAGATTTTGTATTTTTTTTTCGTCTTTTTTTCCCCTTTTTTGCTTGGGTGGGTGGGTTTAGTTTTCACGGTGTTCTCTGTTTTTCCTGTATTAATTTGCAATCATTGATGTTCAACTCATCTGCTGCAATGTGATGATCATTCTCTTGCTACAGTGATTTCCTGGTTATTCTTTTGTTTGTATTCGAATTTTCATAAATTATCAGGTTGTTCATGGAATGTTTGCTTAACCTTTTTTGCAACCTTTCCTGCTACCAAAAGTAAAACGATATCTGCTTTATTTCAAATTTTTTTCAAGTATCTGGTTAATGGAAATTTAATTTGAGTTTTAAATTGATGACAGGAAGATGATTATGGCACGGGATATCTTGTTCAACCAGTTGGGCAGGTAGAAGTAGATGCTGGAGGTGGAGATTTGGATCCTGTAAATGAAGGTGAAGAGCCTGAATTAGAGGAAGACGTTGACGAAGAAGACGAAGATGAAGATGGCGAAGTCCAAGAACTGCCGCCCACTGCTTCTCACAAGAGGAAGAGAGATGAGGACGAAGATGACGACGACGACGATGGCGACGACGACGACGTTGTTTATCATAGTAAGTCATCGAAGCACCATTAGCAGTTGGGATTGTGGTATGAAGGTGTGTTTATTCTGGAGAAAGTGGTGGAAACTTGAATATTTTGGAGAAAATTGTGTTGAGGTTGCTGTAATATATGTTCAAAAAGTGGTTAGAAGAAGATAGTTCCCTCCCTCTTATGGTTTTGCTTGTGCTGTAGCCGTTGCTTTATTCATTTCAAATGACAGTTGTGAGCGGGTTGAACTTGCTTCATTTGCATTGGAATGGAACGGAGGGAAATTGGCACAAATGATAAAAACCTCTCATATATAAAATTCTCTCTTTCAATTGGTTTGTATTACCGGTTGTAGATAGCTTGTAAGGTCTGTGTTCTATCCGTAAAACTGTGTCGTTTTGACTAATCTGTGAATTGGGACGCAACCTTTTTGTTTTAAATTCTGCCTGTGTGTTTTGTTCAGTTTTAGTTTATCAGAATTGCCAGGCAGGTTAGGTGGGGTGTGTTTCTTATTATTATTATTTTTTTGTTAACCAAATTAGACTTCAATTTCGATTTTATTATAATAATTTTTTTTTTTCTCATGGATCAAATTTAAAGTCAAATAAATGTCATATTCAAAATATAGCCGGGTATAATGACTGAAATACATTTTGTGAAGATGAAAATTTATCAATTACATTACTTCAATAGAAAATGACACATGGATCTTTTAAATATTATTAAATCTCAACCGAATGTTAATCATAATATGGAAATCAATTTAATTGAATTATAATAATCAATTTCTTTTGAAAGAGTACCATCCATCTTCAGCTCTAAATATTGTGTGGAAATCTATATTTCTGGTCCCCAAACGTTTCAGCAAAATATTTAAAATGGGGAGGTGGGTGGGGAGGGGAAGAAATAGACTAGAACCTGTTAAAAAGAAAAAAAAAAAGTAATAGAAAAGAATAAAACAATAAGAGAAAACACATCTCAGCCATCCGCCACCACCCTCCACCGCAAGCTCCTCCACCCAGCCCAACGGCCCCTTTCCCACCTTCCAACAACACTAAGCCAGTCTTTAAAAGTTCACTGGTAAATAATAGACCAGCACACAAAGTAACAAATGAAGAATTGACTTCAGTATTATAAATCAAGTTATTTAATATTTCGAATAACTCCTTAAATTCGAAACTACCTGTTATCCAATAAAGAATATAAAAATCTGGATGTATTTAATATAAACATTTTAAAATTCTATAAAAGTTTTAAGATATGTAATATAAATTTTTAATGCTTTAAAAGCTATATTGTATTAAATCAAGAATTTTTTAAAAGTTTTTAAAAATCACAAAGTTTCAAAATATCAATGACCTGTACCCTACGTACTAACTTTTAAACAAAAAATAAAAATACAAAATATTACATTTTGGCTCTCATTCGCTCTCGAGATTTTGAAAGACACACACCAGAAAAAAAAAAAAAAAAAAAAAAAAAAAGGTCTATT